GGCGGGAGGGGGAGGAGGGTGCGGCGAGGGCCTCCCCGGGCGCCCCTGGACGTGGAGGAATGGCGGGCGTGCCTGGGCAGGTGGGGGAGCTCGCTCTTCTGAGACCTGCCGGATTCGCAGCCCGGCAGGGGGACCTGGAGACAGGCAGGTGGGCAGGGGCCTTGCGAGCTCGGGCTCGGAGCTTGGTCTCCATCGCGGGCAGCGGAGAGCCCGCAGAGGGTTTGGAGCAGGAAGGGGCCGGATGTCTCCTGCCAGAGTTCCCTTCGGCTGTGTGCAGAGGGCGCCAGGGGCGGTGGGGACGCCAGACAGGGCGGGAGGCTGGCCAGGGGAGAAATGGGGGAAATCCCTCGGGAGGCGGGGTCCAGGAGGAAGGTGACAGCTAGGGGGCGTGGGGACAGAGAGAAGGGGACGAGAGATGAGAGATTGCAGAGCGAAAGCTGGCAAGACCATGGGGCCGTGGTGGGGTGAAAGGGTCAGGGAGTGAAGCCAGGTGGAGTCTGCGGTTCAGGGGTGGGGCACAGTGGAGCTGGTCCCGCAGCAGTGACCCAGAAAGAGACCCCACTTAGGGTCAAATGCTGAGCCTGGATCGGGTCCTGCTGGGTCTAGGGGACCTGGAGGATGTCAAGGAAGATGCCCAGAACACACTGGGTTAAGGATATAGGGCTGAATCTAGGGGTGCAACGTTTCGGGTTTCTCTACCCCTCCACTTCTGTCTAGTCCCTCCCTGCCTCCTCGATTTTGTGGATTTAAGAGTCTCCCTCCCCTTGCCCCAAGGAGTTCAGGAGTTAGAACCTTCACGGTGGAGAAACCTTAATGGTGGACCTGTGCGCCCTTCTGTGGGGAGACCCACAACCCCCACTCCCAGACTTGAAGAACTTGGCCTGTTTTCCTCCTTGGAACAAGAAAATCAGCTCACACGCTGAAGTCCTGTTTAGAAGTTGCTTTCTTTCTATCCTAAGAGAGAGACCAGGCATCAGGTGCTCTGGAAATTAAGGCGGCCGGATCCCACACAGCCACCTTCGTGGTTGGAGTCCTGGACCCGGTGGCTTGAAAAACACACCAGGGGCGTATGCATGGGTGCATAAAATCCCATGGAGAGAATGGAGAAGAAGGGATTGTGGTGTGGCCCTTCCCGGCTTTCTCTGTCTCTCTCTGTCTCTGGCAAGCACATACGTCTATGGCAAAAGTTAAAAATACAGACAGAGGGACCAGCAGTTGGCATAATGGCTATGTCGCTGGACTCCATGTAGTCGACCGCGGTTCAAGTCCCGGACCCTTAAATTCATGCTGGGAGCATGTGTGTGCGTGCCCAAGATCCCGAGAGGAGAATGGAGGAGAAGGGATTGTGGCGTGGCCATCCCCCCTGGGGGTGATTTCTCCGCTTTCTGCTGTCTTTCTGGCGAGCCGACCCGCCCTATAGCAAAAACCTCTCCAAAAAAAAAAAAAAGAAAATGAAAAAAATACAGAGAGAAAAAAAGAGAGAAAGAGACAGCACCCAACAGGATCTTGACTCCAAAACCCACCCCCGGCCTCAGCCAGCTTGCCTCTGATGCATGCCAGGTGTGCTCAGGGAGGTCCGGGGAGCAAGCCTGGAACCCTGCTAGGGAGCCCAGCCTTGCAGGGTGCCCCCCATCCCCCCACGTCCTCGTGCAACCGTCCAGCCCCGTCTGCAGCCCAGCCCTGATTACCCAGTCTTCCGGGTGCCTCCAGACCGCCTGCCTCAGCTTCTCCAGCCTCCTGTGTCCCTCTTGCCGCTCCACATCGGTCTGGGGTCTGTGGGGCACCTGCTGTGGGCCGGGCGTAGCGTGGGCACTGAAGCTTCTGCTTCCTTCCTGCACCCACGGAGCAGGCCGCCCAGGGGAGAAAGGGACAGAGAGCGTGTCACTCACTACCCAGGGTCCTTCAGATGACCACGGGTACCCAGGTGGACAGGATAGGGAAGTTCCAGAGAAGGGAGGCAGGGAAGGATGGGGGCAAGAGGAGCCTTGGGGAAGGAGGTCCCCTCGGAGGAGGGGATAGTCGCCTGAGATTTGGGAGAAGCGAGATTTGGAAAAGAGCATTCCAGGCAGCGCAAGGCCAGAGCATAGGCCCTGAGGCAGGCTGGTGACGGGCTGGTTTAGCAATGGGGTGGGGTGACCAAAGAGAGTGAGCAAGGAGGGCTGGCCCACGCAGGGGGGGTCTGGCTTTTCTCTTAAATAAGCCTGGGAGGGCTTTTGGCAGCCTCAGGTGAAGGGCAGCCACGGCCTGGAGCAGGTGGTGACTGCAGAGGAGAGGCGGGGTGGGCGCAGGGCCTGGGCATCAAAGGCTGTGGCCAACACCGTACTGGTCACCCTCTCTGTCGCTGCAGGCCGCGGGCAGCCATGAAGGTGCTGCTGCTTGCCGGGCTCGGGGCCCTGTTCTTCTCTTATTATTGGGATGACAACTTCGACCCGGGTGAGTGCCAGGGTCAGGGAGGGAGGACCGGGCTGGCCATCCTACTCCCCCCACCGGCTGACCACCCCTGCTCGCGGCCAGCCAGCCTCCAGGGAGCTCGTGTGCTGCTGACAGGCGCCAGCGCAGGTGTGGGCGAGGAGCTGGCGTACCACTACGCTCGCCTGGGCTCCCGGCTGGTGCTCACCGCACACTCCGAGGCCCTCCTGCAGAAGGTGAGCCTCCTCCCAGCCCTAGTTCAAAAGGGGGGCGGGGAGGAAAGAGGGCTGGAGTTTGAGTCCCTGGGATGAGCTGCTGAAAAACCAGGTCACACCTTGTGTGACCCTGGGCAAGTTGCCTCACCTCTCTGAGCCTCGGTTTCCCCATTTGCAAAACGGAGACCATCAAAGTACCTTCTCACAGGTCACGGTGTTGTACTGAAGCAGTAAGAGGGTGGGCGCATAGCAGGGTGTGTCCCTCGGTAAACGAGGGGAGCATCGTCATCCAGAACCTGCCCGAAAAGCTGGGCTCCTACCTCTAGGCGGGAGGGCACCTTGGCACCTTAGCAATCTTCCCCATTGCTTCAGGCCTGAGCAGACCTTGCTGACAGCCTTCCACTTGTCCAAGAGAACCTAGAGAGCTGCAGATTGAAGTGAGATCTGCGGGGTTTTAGATGATGGTGGTGGATGGAATCAAATGTCCCCCAAGGACCAGCAGGTGGCATGCTGGTCAAGGAGCTAGGTCCCATATGACCCACCTGGCCCACGGTTCAAGTCCCAGACCCAGCTGCCTGAAAGATACACGGGTCACGTGTGCATGCGTGCCCAAAATCCCCAGAAGAGAATGGAGAAGGGATTTCCACTAGCCATCCCCGGGAGTGGGGGCTTTTTCGCTTTTCTTCTCTCTGTCTCTCTACAGCAAACACACATGCCCTATGGCAAAACCCTAAAAACAAACAAACAAAATATCCCCCAGTCCCGCCCGAGTTGCGTTTTTGAAACCATAGGTGAACTTTTGAGAGTGATGAATGGAACCGGAGGCTCAGAGCAGGGGTGGGGGCGTCAGGCTGGAGCCTCAGTGTGGCCGGCAGGTGGAGGGGGGCCAGCTGGGAGGAGAGGCCCACGGGCAGCTCTGGCCCCCCCAGGTGGTAGGGAACTGCCGGAAGCTCGGCGCCTCCACGGTCTTCTACGTCGCCGCGGACATGGCCTCCCCTGAGGCACCCGAGCGCGTGGTGCAGTTTGCGCTGGACAAGCTGGGTGAGGGGCGGGGCCTGGGGCGCGCAGGCCGGGATGTGACCTAGGTGTCCGGGGCAGGACCGGAATTGGGGCGGGGAGTTAGTAACGGGTTCCAGGGAGTGGAGCCTCATCCCACCAGGGGCGGGACTCTGGATGGGCCTAGTTGGATGGGGACAAAACCTAGTCGGGTCCTGGAGTGAGGCTCGGGGCTGGGTCTCTGATCTTAGTGGGGCACAACTGATGCGGAGCTGGCTGGGGCAGCCTCTGGGCGGGGCCCCACTGGGGGCGGGCTTCAGGGGCCTGGCCCTGGACTGACCAGCCTTTCTGGGCCAGGTGGGCTGGACTACCTCGTGCTGAACCACATCGGCAGCGCCCGGGCCGGAACGCGGGCACGCAGCGCCCAGGGGACACGCTGGCTCGTGCAGGTGCTCCGCCCTTCTGCAGTCCCGATCCCGCCCCTTCTGCAACCTTGGCTCCGCTGTCCCATCCCAGCACGCCCCGCCCCGCCTGTTCCGTTGTTGGCTCCGCCTCCCCTCGGCCATGGCTCCGCCCTCCCATCCCGGCACGCCCCCCTAGGTCAGGGCCCCGTCTGATCCGCTGTTGGCTCCGCCTTCCCTGACCCTGGGCCCGCCCACCCGTCCCGGGCCACGCCCCTCCTAGGCCAAGGCCCCGCCTGTTGCGCTGTTGGCTCCTCCTCCCCTTGACCCTGGCTCCGCCTTACCATCCCGGGCCACGCCCCTCCTAGACCCCGCCTGTTCCGCTGTTGGCTCCTCCTCCCCTTGACCTCGGCTCCGCCTCCCCGTCCCGGGCCACGCCCCTCCTAGGCCAAGGCCCCGCCCGTTCTGCCCTCGGCCAACTGTTTTGGGGCCTTGCCCCTCGGCTCTTCTGCCCTCCGCCCCTCCCAGCCTGGGTTCCGCCTGGGCCTGGTTCCCTCCTCATTCCAATCCTCGGGCTCTCCCCTGTTTGGTCACGCCCTTCGGGCTCTACGCTCCGCCCCCTCTCGTCCTTGGCCCCGCCCCGGGCCAGGGCTTCTTTCCTCCAGGTTCCAGTCCTAGGGCCCCGCCCCCTGCTCAAACCCCGCCCACCGGCTTCTACTCTCCGCCCCGGGCCCGGGCTTCTTCCTCCTGGTTCCAGCCCTTGGCCCGCCCCACCGGGCCGTGGGGCGGGG